ATATTATTATTTCTGAATGTACATTATCTCACATTGATTTTTAGTCCAATATCTAATCCATTCCACACATGTATATAAATGAAAGAAAAATAAAGTTGTGTGAGTGAGTAACTTGATATGATTATGAGCAATAGTTTGTGCTCGAAACGTCATCAGTTCATATAACTGTATAACACTGTGTGATTTATCAAAATAAAATCTTATCCATAATGGAATTATACTCTACCACAGTGCCCAAGTTTTATACTTATATCAACTACCTGATCGACCTATGTAATTTACATTGCAGTACTTTAGCAAAAAGCTCAGTAGTCGCACTGCATGCATTAACACACAACCACACAATGGGGTGAGGGAGGGTTAAAATTCTTAGAATTAATATAGGTAGGTGGAAATAGTGAGAGGTTGCCTTAATATGATTATGAGCAGTAATAATTTGTGCTCGAAACCTGTGGTCATCAATTAAAATTACTGTACGAAACTGCGTGATTTTATCACAATACAGTTTTATCTATAATGGAGCTATACTTTACCACAATGCCCACGACACTCCACCACAGTGCCAAGGTTTTATACTTATATCAAGATGAATCGTAATGTTAAGTTGGTAAACACTATAATGAATCATTTAGTTGAGTATTGATTTTTCTTAATTAAAGCCTGATGCCACACAGCATTTTTGGTACAAGTATGGAATTTTCAGCATGTGATATCGGTAGCCGAAATTTTGCAGGCCTATCTTTGATCTTAGGTGTGCGATTTATCAAAATAAAATCTTATCTATAATGGAAGCTGAGCTACAATAAACACCCGCTATTTAGATCATAATTTTAATGTAATGATCATTATGGGTAACGTTAAGCTGTCATTTGAAAGAATGTTACACTACTGTCCGTTGATTATCACACTAGATATCTGTCAAGTTTTAGATCTCCTCCTAACAGTCCTACTCATTCTGTATTAGAGGGAAATAAGTAGGTTGTTGGTTGTTTGTAAGGCAATCTGAGATGTTACCCGAAACAGATTTTCCAAGAACAAGGCTTTAAGCCACTCTCATTGTATGAGAACTAGTGATACTATTGAGTTGTCCAGGGACTCGGACCTGTGACTTTGAAAATGAGTACTTAAGCCAATGACAGCCACCTTCCCACCCCCTGAGACAGTTATTATTTCGTAGAGTGTTTTTGATATGTACTAGGTGTTGATCAAAGGTGAGCTACAAATCTAGTTGGCGACAGGATTCTAATAAAGCGACCTCCTTAGCACTGGCCCGTCGTTCTATCAGGTAAAAATGATGACCCTATCTGTTGCTTTCTCGTATCTCATAGCACGGCTTTTAGAATGACACTATTTCGAATTCTGCTGAGGCCTAGATTATTGTTCACTCTTTAATCGCCACGTACCACAGTAAATATATACTTCTTTCTCATAGATAATTCCTTTCAAAGAAGAAGTACCCCATTTGATACACCATTTTGAATACATTTCAAAGGTCCTCAAATTTTACACCAAGGATATTGTCATTCAGAAACTACATCCGAGATCCATTTCATGATATTTTGTCAACCAGTGGTCGAAATAGCCTTGACAACAGACTTTTTGAAATAACTAAATAAATCAATGAATAATTGATCAATAAGAGTAGACTCTTTCAAAGATGTTTGTCAGTTCAAGAAGAAAATAAAAGATAATTCAGCAGAGAAAATTGTCTTTATCGACGAAATCATATTCAGAGGCTGTACAATCGTATTCATGTCTACTATTTATTGAGTAATAGGGAGGTGGTGACATAATTGATATAATTACTCAGAAGTAGATATACACCAGTGATACAGTTGATGAGGAACTGGAGAGACTGAGAAAAGTCCTCAGGGAAAATAGATAACCTTCCAGATTATTGGAGAAAAACGTCAAATCAGATCCCTACAAACCAACACTTGAATAACAATGAAATGCCCACTGGCGACTTGCCTTATTCAGGTAGGTAGTTACGTGGGGTTCCAGTGGGAAGTTGTGACCAGTAGGGTGCAGCCCGTCAGGTGTGAGGACAAATACTCGCCAGCAATGACATTGGCCAGTGGTTGCGCTATGTCGTAAATTGGCAAAAGTTAGAATTCATGGGCTGGTTGGCCATTGGATCGGGTCCCAGTGGCTTAATGCTCTACGAGCTAGCTCACCTGAGTTCGAACTGTGGTCGTGGGTGTGTACTGATGAAGAGTCCCAAACTAGGATGAAACAGCTGTCCAGTACTCCAGTGTTGGTTTTCCTTTGGTTCTCTAACTGATGTCAGCTCATGATGAAATCCTGTAACCAGTTAAATCCCTACAAACCAACACTTGAAAAAAATGAAGGTTAAACAAAAACTATAAGGAATGCAAACTGTGCGAAAGAAACTGCTGTTTACGAACGCGGAATTCGAAAGTGATACAGCAATTGAAAGCAGTTGAAGAACCGCTTATCCAGATCAATAAGAAGAGCTTTCTTTTTTAGGTGAGCTACGGATCAGTTTCTACAGATGAGAAGTTATGAGTCGATGTGTGAAGAATAAACTGTCACTCTTTGCAGGCCACTTCAATGCGTGTTTATAAATTCACCTACTCCTGTGGGACTAGTTATACCAACAGATAACACACTTTATAAACGCCTCTCTGAACATCATCCGGCATGGTTAGTAAGAGGACAATGCAATGCAATTACTAACTCAATTTTCGAACACTTAGTGAATCAACCTGCGCAAAACAGAGTACTAGATATACTATACTATTTGCTGACTAGTGTCCAATCAAAAAATATCCAATACAGTCCTACAGGAGGTTAAACGTGAGCTCAGTGGTAACATCTCTGACTGTAGGCAGTAGTGGGTGAAGCGGGTTCGAATCTCAGCAGGGGCATGAGTTCCTTCATGGTTGTAGATACGCCTTGCTGATGACTGACGAGTGCCAAATAGCACGAAACCTAGATCTAGTTGGGCTTTCTGTGGCCGATTACCTCCAACCATCTAATAACAACCATTAAAAATGCACCGCGATGGTAAGGCATCTAGAATAGTGGCCACATTACAAACGTGACTAATAAAGTTCATTCTGCAGCAAACAGTGGACTTGGCACACCACACTCATTGCTAGCTAGTGTCCAACTAATGGTTTAAAATTATTCTAAATGCCATGCTCGTTTGGATCTCTTGTTATCTTATGAATTTAGAATACTTTTACTACTCCTCAATATCTTGTTATTGATTTTTCTTCATACTTCCAAGCTAATCGATTGTACTATGCATTTTTCGAAGTCAGTCTTCTGAACTGAAGACAGTTCAGTGAAGAAAAAACGAAATTATCTTTCAGACGCTGTTCAATCGTATTTCTATATTCCAAAAAACGTATATTATTGATTCTCTAATTGATTTGACCAGAAGTGAAATAAAATAAAATTCCTACAAACCAAATCATGAAAATTGTTCGAATGGCTGCTAGTGACTTGTTACAGGACAAAGTTGTCTGGAGTTCTGGTCAGAAGTTATGACCAATAAGATCCATGCGATCGCCAGTGAGGTTAAATGCTCACCGAGGAGAGTGTTTGGCGTCAGTCGCGCTAAACATCACGAATTCCCCAAGAGTTAGAACTTATGAACTGGCCAGTGAAGAGTCAGGTCCCAGTGGATGAATGGTTAACGTGCTTGCCTTATACTCACTCGGAAGGTCCTGAATTCAAACCTTGATGAATGAGTCGCAAACTAGGACGAACCAGCTGTCCAGTACTCTTTGGTTTTCAATGGTCCTCTAGTTGATAGCAATTCATGGCCAAACTTGTATAATGGTCCATTACTGAACAATAGGAAGGGTGACAGACATAAGTGATATAATTATTCAGAAGTGGTTTCAAAAACAAAACTATAAGTGACCTGATACTCAACGGCACAAATTCAATATTAAACGTGTTATTGAGTAAGCAGAAAGGTAGTTGAGTGTCCATTTCTGAACAAGTGTGAAGAGCGTGTGAAAATATATACAATAGGAACATGAGAGAGTGATAATAGTGAATTAATTATTGAAAATGAAAACTTAAAAAGAATAACACCGAACGATTAATTCAGAGTTTAAGACTGTGGTAGAATAAGAGACTGGACAAACTTTTTCTGTATGCAGAGTTCGGGGTTGTATTGACAAATCACCAGCGCCTCTGTCACACACAATGCCGATAATCTTAAAAGACGACTCTGATGAAGCTGCGTGGCCTGAGTTTACCGAGTGCTAAAGAATTGAGCTAGTAATTGCATTGTATTGTCCTCTAACTATCCATGCCAGATGATGTTCAGAGAGGCGTTTGTAAAGTGTGCTGTGTTGTACGATCAATATAACTAGTCCCACAGGAGCAAGTGAATTTACAAACACCCATTGAAGTGGTCCGCCAAGAGTGGCAGTTTATTCTTCACAAATCAACTTATCATTTTACAGCTGTAGAAACTGGTGACAGATTATTCACAAATTAAAGCTCTGGGGGGATATCTAAAGGTATATACTAACTCAGCTGGTTCATGAGTAATATCAAGCGGTCATAAGATGTGCCTGCCGAAACTGGAAGGCATACTTGCATTATATAGAACTAGGTGTAGAGTGCTAAGTGATGAAGCTAGGATTATATCAGTAACTGTTCGGCTTATGATGCCTGCCAACTTCGTCCAGCTTCGTATCAATTCTGATTCGTCGTCAGTCAAGTTAACCTGTTGATTACTCTATCACTAAAAGATCCCATTAATTTTTATCAAACCACAAAATTTAATCATAATAATTCTGAAATTATTTTCTAAGATGATAGGGCAGGAAATATACTACACATACTATACACCACCACCCTACTCTCTTACTAACCAATCAAATTCAACTTAACCACCCACTTATTTTCCGAATGGATAGGAAAAATAATTCGTTAAATAAAAAATAACCAATCAGAATGCTGTATCATAATAAAATGTATTTAAATAAAATGCTTCAACCAGAGGCAAATTTCCATATTTTGCTGAGGAAAATTAATGAGCGCAATACTTACAGCAGAAGACTTCATGTCGAATTAACAAGTAACATTGTTGACAAAAGCACACATCATATATATTATATTTGTTATATATACATTATTATATCATTATATCTAAGAAATTTAAAAGTATTGATCATTCTAGTCAATAATTGATAGACAAAAAAATAGGCCGGATTATTAATATTGCTATTATTATTAATATTGTATCTTATCAAATGGAGACAATTAGCAGTATACCATCGAATCAACCGCTACAGGTTACAATTAATGATTATGCTTATCGTCTAAGATATGGTGTACCAGAAGATTCGACAGTGAAATTATTCCGTGAATACTATCCACATCGTTTTCAAGAATTATGTATGATCCATTTATCATTTTTAATTGATATTCCATGGAATTTTTTGGATCAAAAAACAATGTCAACAAATATTAATAGTAATAGTCATAATACTACTTATAATTCTACCATGAGCAGTAATCATTCTTTGTTTACAATGAATCCAATGAATAATGGGTTTACTTCTGGAACCACAACAACAACAGCGCCTGCATCTACTCCAACAACAACAATTACGTCGAATACAAATTCTTTGAGTACTACAAATATTGGTGGAGCGACAAAAGCTATGCTTAAAAGATTATGGATTAATTGGCGTTTAAATTCACGTAAGTAAATTGTGTCTATAACTTATGAAATGGCATTGTATTGGTAAGATGTCATTTTGAGTATGTGATAGCTTCTTTACTTATGTGAAAAGGTGTGGTTGTGTGTTTGTGCAGTTGCAGTAGGGGCAGTTGGTTCAAATACTAAACTACATTGATACATACATATTTATCTCTGCGTTGCATGTCTTTTCATGAGATCCAAGCTCTGCCTGGAATCGTTCACTGATGATGTCTATAACACTTGACCCTGTGAACTCACTATTTATGATAAGAGATTAAAAAAATTTATGTCAAAGTCACTTTTCATCGCTCCATAAGATGAATATTAGATCCCCTCTCCCTTCTTTTACAGTAGGATAATGGATAGAGGTTCAACCTTACAAACGTCTTTTTCATATTTGATGTGTCAAACACCTACTAATTAATTGTTAACCGGTTATATACGCTTTAGATGACATTTACCTTCTGACCAACTTTCGAAAACACTATTCTATTTACTTATGAATCTTTGTTAAGTTATGCAATCTGTCGAATTATTATTATTAATATATACTTGAAAAAGTTGAGAATGACGTAATCTGCCATTATGCACCGTTGGATATTTATTTATATTCCTCCCTCCCACGCAGAGACTTCCAGTTATCACTATAGTTATCACTAATACTATTACTATTGATCTAAGTCACATGACGTGTACATTTTACATATATTTAATATATTCATTTACGAATCAAAATCAAAGTTATTACACCTATAATATGTGAAAATAAGTTTATGCATAGTTGTGACCTCAGCGTGTAATATAAACATGTTTATTTTAACAAGGAAGCATATTATCAAGTAAGTGGGAATGGGACACATTAACCACTTCAACTTTTCAGTCAAGCCTACCCGACCTAGTATGCAAGTTATGGTCTTTAAAAACGATAAATGGGGCTTTAAAGTCACTTAACTCTTGTTCATACATTGTAGTAATAGTAGTAGTAATACTTTAATTATAATTATCTTAAAGATGGAACAAATATTGGCGAATGGTTACTGAACGAAGAATACTCTTTTCGATGATCCCTTCTTCATCAAGTTCTACAGTTATGTATACATTTGCAATGAATAGTGTTCTCTGAGCAGCTGGTTGGTTTAGTTGCGGAGGTTTCGTCGTCCTCCCTCTGGACAACTTCCCCCTCAGCGCAATATTTAGCATAAAGTGAAATGATTTAAATTTTTCTTTGAGTGATATAACTGCATATCCCAGCAACAATCTTCACATGTGTAGTGATCATTTTCTATTGACTTGGATTTTATACTTTCTCGTCATATGATTTACTTTTTATTGGTTGGTATATTTGGTCTATATTAGTTGGTCTATATTAACATGTTTGGTAATTGCATATTCGTTTGAGTACCAGGCTTGGCTTCTAGGAATTCCCTTACTGTACTTTTGATGTTTCCTCTGTCTAAGACTTCGACATTATTCCAATTAAAGGGATGTCCATAATTGTCTGTATGCATTGATATGTCTATAGTCATATATACATATTAGTGAATGGATTTATCTTATTAACAACATCGAGTCAATAATAATAATAGTAATATCAGTGGATTGCGTCGGTGGCACAGCGGTTAGCATGCTCGCCAACCATCTACATGATCCGGGTTTCGATCCCCGGCCGACGCACTCCTTTACCTCACTTATCCAGTAATAAGATTGGTAAAGAGGGAGGGTTGGGCATATGGCTAGGATTCCCATCGTGTAAAAATAAACACTGCTTCAAGCTTCTATCTTGAAGCCCTATGTTCCACTGGGAACGGGAAGGAAACAACAACAAAAAATATCAATGGATTACAGTTCAACAGCATCAACATAACACTACACTGAATGTCAAACAGACAAATTAGGAAAGATAATAATACAAATTCATGAATTTCTAGTCTCTACTGAATGCTGGCCAGAGTAATAGTAGTAGTGGCTGGACTTGATTCTTTTGCATACAATGCATAACTGATTGTTAGACTTTGCTTTGACATCAGAATCTATAGGCTTTGTAGGATGAAATCGGTTGACTAATAAGTCTCATTCGTTGTGTCTGAAAGGGTTATTGATTGATTTTCCAGCCTCATACATAATTTCACCACCTTCCATACTGTTAGTGAGCAGCTAGTAAAGTAAGCTGAGGTATACGAATGCCACCCTTACTACAAGCGTGGGGGTTGACAAGTTTCCCACCAATATATAAACTATCACCATACTTGAATTTCTTCTGATAGCGCTTCGCTTGTTTAACTAACTTTAGATATAATAATAATATATGCCTCTATCTCTTTGCCAAAATTCTTCTGATCACTGCTCTTTTGTTGTTTTTTTTCCAACGGACGTGGTGTTGGTGGTGTGTGTTGTGTTGTGTATCCAGGGGACTGAGTAAGTGATGAATAAATAACTCTATAAGTAAACAATCAATATTTACACCTCACATCTATCTCAAGACAGGAAAATAAATACAAACTTAATAATAATAATAATAATAAACAAAAGACAATGGAAGAATAGTACATGTTTATGCCTCTTTATTCTATTAACATTGTATAAATACCTGTAGATACGTATAGATATATATATGTTTAATTGACAGTGGTAGTGTTCAATTGTCACGAAAGCAACAGAAAGGAAAACAAAATGATAGTAATTTCTTTTTCCTGTTTACGTTTTCTTTTGTGTCCTTCTTCTGTCATTGTTCTTGTTGTTGTTGTTTTTGTGTTGAACGGATCAATGCATAGAAGTTGTACTTGTCAAGTATAGCTTAAAGATACGATACACTAACCACTACTCTCTAATACTACTTCCTGCCCACTCACTCCTCCGTAGCTTCCCCACCTTCCCAACATGTTTTCAAATACTACTAATGTTACCACTACGATGAATGAATGGTAAAGTGAAATGCAGTGGATCGGGGGGTGGGTGGGGGTTGGTTGCTTATGCATGTGGAAAAGTATAGAAATAGAAATAATATCGAAAGAATTTTATCCGAAACTTAAAAATATAAACATACAAAATTTACTTTCCAAGACTTGAACAACAATATCGTGTGTTTGTGTATGTGTGCGTGTGTGTTTAGATTCAAGTACACAAAAGATGGTTAGTTACCTTACATTATTTTGCACTTACAATGATCATGATCCATAATTACTGTTTGTGTACATAAACATAGAATAATACATTAGAATAAAGAGTCTTTTATCATAAATGTCAAGTGACACAGGATACTTTTGTTTTAAGAGTTGGTAGTTATAATAATAAGTAAGAAAGTGCAAGTAGACTAACTTTTTGAAGAAAGTGTATTTTTCTGGGGTGGAGTAGAATGTAAATAGTTAAGCAAATGTACAATAAAAAAATACAAAAAAAAAACAACAAAACAAAACAGTATCTATGTCAAAAGAACACAGACAACTCTCTCTCTCTCTCTCTCTCTCTTATATATATATATATATATGTACCACCTGGTGATGGTATGTTTAAAGATTTTTGCATCTATGATCAATTGTAGTACACAGTAAGAAGTATTCACAGCTATAGAGATGAAGAGCTGAGCGGACAGAAACGCATATACTATACATGGATATATATGTCATTATTGTGTGTGTAGCATGAATACTATTCATACAAATAGTTTTCCGTTTCTTTGAGGTATGTGATGGGTTTATTATTCAAAATTAGTGTAGTCTGGTTTGCAAAATAAGCTGATTAATGGTACCTTTCAAAAACATTCATGTGAAATAATAATTGGCAACTGCACAGCGTTTGGTTGTTTTCTTTTCAGGTATGTATGAAGCTTTTGTATCATTATCGCTTTCGACTGATGACACCACAAATACCTTTAAGTCTTCATTTTTTTTAGCTTCATATAAATCACTACATCCATGCGATGCTCAAAACCCAGACTCGTTAATATTCATTTAGTGTCTACTGCTTAACCTTAGTTTACGATGCTACTGGGATGGAAGCCTCAGGATGGTCGGGGGTGGGTGTCTTGCGCTGCGGGTTGGCCACCCCTCCGTACACCTCTTGAAATGCTCCCATATGACCAGGCGTCTTACATAGCCTCTCCTGAGGAAGTCCTACTCACTGCCTTCACGTGGCGGAGGTGTTTTTCACCAAAGTGAGAGGGCAAAAGCGGATGCCCGGCGCTCTTCACCGGGTTGACTGTCCATTGGATGACAGTCTAGGGGAGATGGCTAAACCCTGATTCCAAACCTCCGACGACTGGCGTATGAAGCTCACCGGCAGACGTATGGACAAAGGGCTTATTGGATGCCCTGGATGACTGGCCCCATTCAAAAAGGCGAATGAACCGGACTTCGGTCACCGGCTGCCAATGGATAGTGGACTCCCTACTCCACTCCTACTGCCTTGTAGGTCACACTTGGTTGTGTAAAGGCTAGAGCTGCACTCTCAAACAAAAGGCCGAGCGATGCTGGGGACATCACTCGTACCCAATTCCCATGAAACTTCATGGTTCATGGAGCCGGCTCATCCTCCCGTAGGAGATAGCCGAAGTAAAGTAAAGTAAAGTAAGATGCTACTGGGACGTATTCTTATAGTGTTTGTCCTATATGCCTCCGTTTACTGTGACTGCATTATTTATTGGGCAGGAGGTGCTTTTATCAATAGATCTCTTCACTCAGTCCTGAAGATCAGATGGACAAGGAATAAGAAATCCAATCAAAAACCCACTACCGTACACATATGCAGACATGGATAAAAACATACAAGCTGAAGAAACTATCGACTAACATCCTCCGCATGTCCTAGGCATATCCTCGTCTGGAAAACAAATCGGATCCAATGAATTAACTGTTGGAGGATGACATGTTGGAGATCATTTAAAGATGAGGTGGAAGCTTTTAGGGTAATTATGTCGTTAGCTTATAAAGACTCCAGTGTACGTGTTGAAATGGAGATACATTGCTGAACTTCCTATGTCCTATGTCTTCAGCTGGTACCATGATTGCTCACAAGTTCTCATCTCCTCAATGTCACCCTAGGACGTCCCGCTCGAGCGATGGCCTACATTGCGCACAATGTCATTCGACTGTCTCCTTTATGTATGCCCGATTAGTCCACTTCCATTTTCTCCTACATATTTATTGAGCAATCAGCTCTTGCTTGTTAGTTTGTTCCAAAAGTTTCTTTCCGGCCATTTGATCTATAGTATGGAACCAGAGGAGGCAGCTGTTGACAAAGGTCTGCAACTCCTGACCTTTAAAGAAAGACCGACTTGACATTGGAGTTGAAAATCTGAATCTTATTCCTTATTCTGAGTGAGTGGGGAAGATTTGCTAATTGGTTTCAGATTGATGAAGGCGTATCTTACGTTTCCGATTCTGGCTACCCTTCATATCTTCATCTGTTCCCACTGCCTGTGGTTGAAACAATGCTTCCTTCTGCCGATGATGGTGATTCTGGATAGTTGCTGTTGTTGTTTATGTTGGTCGGTTATCTTCATCACCTCTATCCTCTCTACGTTCACTTGGAGTCCTGTCTTCGCTGCCTGCAAGCCTCTTTATCAGTTTTTTTTGCTTTTCGCCTGCCTGTAAATCTCCGAGTTCATGTGACATTAGATCTTCTGTCTCATTTCAACGACTGGAGAGAATCAATCAACCAAACCAGTTCTCTTTTTTTATTGTGTTATTCTTCCCCTCTTATTACTCTTATTCCTCCTTCAGTGGTATTCACGTGGCTGACTGTATAATTGATGACACTTGTCAAGCTGGCTAAATTATTCTACTTTCTTTTATAATAATAATAAAATGTTTTTATGATCATATTATAATAATTGACTTGACAGATGTGTGTGTGTGCGTGGGTGTGTATAATTATCACCAGAAATTCAAACAATTAATCACATTCCTACTTTCATTTTTGGTGTTGTTTTTGATGTAAAGATTGAATGATGATACAAAACACACCAATTAAAAAAAAAAATAACCCAGACTGTCTAACTATTACATAATCGCCTTCCTACATCCATCCTTTCACACTTGACTTCAATTGGTCATACATGTATACATATCCCTAATTATTTTTTGACTGTTTTTTGACTTCATTAGTGTTTGTGTGTATGTTCATTTGTCTATTACGAAGTGTGTGTGTGTGTGTGCAAGTGTGAGGGTAGGGGCTGGTCATCATCACCTTCACCACTTTATTTTTTAACAACAATAAACAATTACGTAATCATTTTTACACTTTATTCCCCATTGTTGTTATTTTTTTGCCTTAGTCGTTGATTTATGAGATCATATAAATAGATAGATAAAGATTTTGATACAATGACGTCATTAACGCACACAAACGCGCTTACACACACCCACACACACACACTCAAAATCATTACAGGTCAAGTTTCACCATTATCTATTTTGAAGTGGAATAATGCTAATAATAATAAGAAGAAGAATAGTAATAATAACAGTGACTGTTCTTTTGATTATTATCGATTTTTCGGCTCAACCACTTCATCCCATGTATGTACATGCAAAAAAGGGGTGATATCTACGTTTTAAACAGATTAGATTTTCTCTAAATTTACAATATTATGAAAAAAAACAAGCTAGAGAAACACTACTCTGTTCGGTACTTTGTCGTTTCAAAGTTTCTTTAAGAACCATTGGAAAACCAGTACCAGGAGGACTGGATAGCCGTCTGTTTTGTCAGCCTAGTTAGGGTCTCTTCATCAATTCGCAGTCACCGCCAAATCACAATATAGCGTGACCCCTTCGCAGTGTATTCGATCAATAAATGCCCTCATCTTTGACCTACTGTACTCTACTGGTCACGGCTTCCCACTAGAACCCTTAAGGCTTAATGGTCTACGAGCTCGCCCACCTTGTAACCAGTGTCTACTTGGTTCGAACCCTGGCGATGGGTGTGCACTGTTGAAGAATCGCAAATTAGAACAGAACAACCAGTTATCAAGTTCGCTAGTTGATATCAGCTCATGATGAAATCCTCAACCAATGAAAACACAATCCCTACAAAACCAATACTTAAAGATTCTTTAAGAAGTTATGTTCATAAGTGTGTTACGGTTTGATGTTGCTGTACGCAATCTGATCTCTGTATTAAACATAAAGTTACCCAAAATTGGTATTCTCCTCCTCCTAATTAAAACCAACGTTCTTTAAAGATCATCGAAAGAGCCATGAACCATTGGATAGTTGTTTCATCCTAGACTGGAACTCTTTAGTAGTATAATTCCACAAAATCCACCAAGTACTGTTGTACTCTGTACCATGAAAAAGTGAAGACGTCATCCGATTTTCGATGGACAAGAGTCTCACTTTACTTTAACAGTTAACAGTCTGGATAACGTTCAAGACATCTGAGAACGAATTAATTTATTTGATAGTATATACATATCCAGTTAGGCATTCATAAGCAGAAGATTGTAGTGAGAGAGAGTAATTTCAATCCTTTAAATCAAAATGAATCTTCTTTTTACCCTTCCTCTGTCTTTTACTAAACAAAACAAAAATTATTATTATTCTAAATTGTTTCTCAAGAGAGAGCAACGGAAAGTGAATCAACGAACATCTGTACTATTTGTCTTGTAACACTGACTATCTAATGGCCATTAAATCATTCCGTGTACACTTGTCGTTCATTCAACTACAGGTGTTCACTCATTCATTCATCCATTCACTGATGAACGGTAAAGTGAACTGTAATCACGAAATAGAAAACCTTTCAAAATATTTTTCCAATTATATAAATAAATAGGAAAAGATATATGTATATGTGAAAATCCATCCAGATGTTGTCGCCTTCAACAGTTATATTCTACTATAATGTTTTTAAAGTACATGGAATTATGTGTCTATCGGATTAGTACAGAGAGAGAGAGAGACAAATGGCTCAAATGAACTGAGTGTTGCTCATTTTTTACCACTCATGAAAGAGAGGGAAAAGCAATTTAGTGAATGTATATAAGTTATTAGTATTATTACTAATATTACGACTTCATGTCTGAGTACATAATCCGTGTTATTCTATAAGACAATAATAATAATGATAAAATAAAGTTGTCTGAGGGTCATTCAATTAAAATAATTCACCTCTTATCGAGTCTTTTTTTGCATTCCCCCTATTGATAAAATAAGACAGACTTGAAATGATAATAATAATAATAATAGTAATAATATCAGTGGGGATCAATAAATTGTCAATAAATTCTTCTTACGGATTATTTATTATAATTCATACTTCATAGAAGTGCACGTTTATTTTTTGTTTCTGACAATTTCACAGTTGGATTATTTTAGGTTTGTGTCTTTTCTTTTGATGTGCACCAAACTAGTCCCTATTTAAGAGTGTGCATGGTTCTGTCTTGGCTAAGGTGGGGTATTATGGGGTGGGTGAACGGGATGATCTGATCAGTGAGGTAGGGTGTGTGTTTAACCTGTGAATAGCATCACAGCTTAACTAATGGTGATTACATAATGAGATAATCTCAAAATAATGTGCAAAAAAAATAAAAATGAAAAGAGATTTTTATTCCAAAGGAACCCCCCGTCATTGATTGATGGTGACACTATCAGATTTCATAAGTCCCTTTGTCCCATTGAATTGTACTACTTTTACTGACCTTGTTCAACGATGCTTTACTCACAAGTTTAATCTCAAGTTTAATTGTATACCTTACCCATTGTGTATTTTGTTTTTTGGTTTTTGTCTTATAGATTCAACAAAATCCGATTCAGTTCCAGAGGATTTAGCAAATAATATTATCTGTTTAATCGATCGATTGGATAATGATGAAGGTAAATCGATAAAGTCTATTGATTTTTTTGTTTTACAATAAAATTATATATGTATATCCAGATCATAGATGTTACATCGTCAGATTGTATCATTATAAAATATTTAAAAAATAGGGAGAAAAATAGAAATAGGGAGTGAAATGGTAGAGGACATTGAGCGCTTCACTTATTTGGGAAGTTGCATCAGCCAGTGCCAACAGGTTGATCTCTGATGAAATCTCAGCACGTATAGAGAGGGGGAGTTTCGCACATGCCAGTTTACGCCGTTTCTGGCTTAGCAGACGTGATATCCGGCTCGCCATCGACCAAAAGGGCGGATGTACTGCTCATCAGTCCGCTACGTCCTCTTTATGGCTGGCTGTGAGACCTGGCCATTGAGAGTGGAAAACATGAGAAGATTAGCTTTCTTTGATCATAGGTGCCTGCATTCTATCTCCCGTATGAAGTGGTATAATAAGGTGAGCAATTTTGAGGTTAGGCGTTAGTCGAGTGCTAGGTAAGGAAGGGAAATCAATCGACGAGACTTTAAAATTACATCGACTGAGATGGTTAGGACATGTATAACGGATGCCTAGACATCCATCGGCTTCCTCGCCAAATGGGCAATGCTAGCTGACATAGGGTCAGGCTGGACAAGAGCTAGCAGTGGGCAAACCAAAACATGAACCAGTCAATGAAATCCACAAGCGTTAGTTTAAGCCAGTCAGTCACTTAGGAAGGTGTAGACTTCCCGACTGGTTGGGGTCCTCAGGACGGTAAAAGCCAATGATTGGAAACAATTGGTGATATGGTTCAAAGTGATCGTTCTCAATGGCTGGATCAGTTAGATGCATCCACTCCCTGTGACTTATGATTTCCAATGAAACTGTTTTGTTCTTCTTTATTACTATTTTTGTCTCACACCTCTGTTTACTGTCTGTATTATGCATTTCTTCTACTTTCTTCTCTTGGTTTGTGTGGTACAAGAAGGGAGTGTGGTGACTTGAACTGGTGCACATCGGTGGAAAGTTCTATGTCGAAAACAGGCAGGCAGACATTAAAAAAATCTTATACATATGGTGGGTGGTGACTAGCAGTGGAATCCAAGGTGCATATTTCGTCCTATTTGGGACTCACCACCTGTAGTGTGTGGTGGTGTTTCCATTGAGGCTTCAACTCTTTCCAATAAAATCAATGAAAATGTCCAAATTGAATTTAATTCAACAATCTTATACATGTATATATTTTGATGGTGTATAAATTACGAGTAATTCTTGTGAAGAAGCTTTGGTTAAACACAGTGAAACGTTCAGAAAAATCTCTCTGGACCTTGAGTACATTTTAGAATAATACCATAGTTTCGTGTAACTAAGAGTTAGGTAAACAGCTGAACTATCAGTTTTGCAGATAATTGTCTGTCACATTTCACATAGTACACAACGGTACGAGAAATTCGAAAGGGGGGGGTGTATAATCAACGGAAAATAATGAGGATTTAATAGATCTTTGAAGATTTGTGAGGAGTGTATACATGTGACAACGACTTTAAGCTCTCACCACCCCATATAGTCTTATGCTATTATCCTTCATCTCTAGGACCCTAACCAGGTAGTATATCTATTCTTAGATGACTCATACCAAACAGTCGACGACTTCAGAAATTGATAGGGAAGAAAGTGATGGCTTGATTGACTTGTCCAACGCATCATCCTCTTTTATCCGGAGGCTTACTACAGGCTTGACAAAGTACACAAGTGCGTCGACGAAGAATCGAATGTAGAACTTCATTGTGTATCTGACTTTCAGTTAAACCTATCAAATAATTCCGAAATATTCACTTTATATATATATACCTATAAAGATTTATTGTTAAAAAATGCAAATATACAATCTTTTAAATTATGATGATGTTAATGAGTAGCGTTCACCTAAGACTGTATTAAAAGTGGTTTTATGCAAATTTTTCTTTTTTGGTTGTCATGGTAAATGCATAGAATCATCTCAATGCTATTAGACTAGACTAGATTAGGCTAGACTGAACACATCTACTTCTCTACATTTTTCTAAATGTCTTAACAAAAGTAGTAGCAACCGGAATCTGTTTATATATGCCGTCAATGTGCACAAATGATGTTTACAAAACATCAGTGAATGACACTCACTTGACCATAGTAATAATAATAATAATGATAAGGGTTTTAAAAAAAGAGCTAATGGTGGAATGGAAGAATTAATAATAATAAGAGGAAATGCGTGCAAGGCACTACTTCTTAAAGTTGAAACATTAAATACAACTTCATTCTTGAAGAGTGTAACAAATTATTTTAGAGATGAGTGGTGTTCAATGGTTAATCCGTCAGACTGACTGTTAATCCAACTGTACTGTGGGTTTGTAAAATGATGGTGTGTCAAGTTTAATTCCTAGTTGTGGAGGGGAGGGGGTAAGGCATCTCTCGACTTTCAACGGGTCACGCAAATTCACTCCAGCCTGTCGACAACTACTCAGACCCCCCTTCATCTGATGCATATAGAGCACAGGTAACTTACCGCTAACTAAATCTGCCAATTAAATTTTATCGATAAATCTCAAGTTACTGTACACTCATTCACTGTCATTCTCTTTTATCTTTCTTTGTTTTAAGCATGTTGTGTTGAAGGTTTATTCCGTAAAGCTGGGCATACAATACGTAAACGTCAATTACAAGAAGCTTTACTACAGTCATCATTCGATTCAAAATTATTTCAATGGGACAAGTATAGTTTTCATGATTTAGCTGGTGCATTAAAATCAATACTGATACGTTTACCAGTACCATTATTTACAGAACGTTTAATCCCATTATTTTTACAAGTATCTGGTAAGTGAGAATGTATCCAATGTAACTTGTGGGTTTATATGCTACTTTTATCCCATTCCTTTGCCCGTATTATTATTATTATTATTAAACTTTCCATGTGTTCCAAGTGAAACTTAGGGATTCAGCACCACATCTTCAATATATTCTATCGTCTGACATCCAAAGCTATACACAATCTTCCATTTCCTCCCCACAGAATCTTCCACATATCTCTCGTAATTGATTAGCTTTTCGCATCTTAATAGACTCCTTTCCGATGTTCTCGTCTGTAACATCCTTGATACTAACACTATCCAGTACGCCGTGGACTATAGTCGAGCAGTATTCAAAGGATCTAAACCACATTTAGAGTGTACAGGAGAATTGATGATAGATTGAAGATTCAAATGAGAAGAATATTTTGCGACCAGAATTTATTGGCTTAAATATAAATTTTCTGTCACTCAGCATCAACAACAAAATACAGTCGGATTTTCAATACAAACAACGTCGAGTCAGTCAGTTCTTCTATACGGATCGATGAGAAACTTGGCGGACCGGTCACAAAGAATATTCCTAACAGGCTGTTGCAGACCTTTATCAACGACTAACTGCCTTCGCTGGATCTATACTGAAGATCAGATGGCCGGGTCGGAAAGAATCACCAACAAGAAACTATGGCTGGGAAAAAACAAAACAAAAACCAATCGCCAACCAACGAATATGCAGGAGAAAGTGGAGATAGACTGGACTCTTGCTGAGTAGGCTACTGGGTGACATCGTGCGTCACGCCGTTGTTTGAGTGGAACCCGAAAGGGAAGAGACGAGTGGGACGTCGGTGCAAGGGTGATATGGAGGAGATCGTGTGAAGAGGAGTTGAAACAGTGTATGGACTAACTAACATGGATGCACGTGAAAAGTACAACAGAAGGAAGACAGAAGTGGCAAGTGGAGACGTGCATTTGAAGCCCTATGTTCCACTAGGAACCCAAGGGAACAATAATAATAATAGTAAATATAAATTTTCAAGCGTTGGTTTGTAAGGATTAGATTTGTTTTACCGAGTTTAATCACGGATTGATATCACTTAGAGAACTGTTGAAATCAATCATGCTAGTTTGGGAATCATCGGCACCTACTGGGGATTGAACCCAGCACCTCCCGGTTACAAGGCTAGCGAGCTCGTAGACCACATTCACCAACTGGTACCCTACTCCTCACTGGCCAGTCCATGATATTTAGCGCGACTATCGCCAACCACTGTCGTCGGCGGGCACTCACTGATCACGACTTTTTTTTTGATTTACAGCTTGATTCCACTTTCTATTTTTGGTATAAGCATGGAATTTTCAGCATGGATATCGGTAGCCCAAATTTTGCAGGCCGACCATGGATATCAGGTGTGCGCCGGCGTGGGCTCGAACCCCGGACCATGCGCATGGTCGGCGAGAGTCCTAACCACTGTGCCACCGACGCACTTCTCACCAGAACTCCGAGAAACTCCATCCTATATTAAATCACTAGCGGACATCAGATTAATTTCCAAGAATTAGCTTGTAAGGATTAGATTGGTTTTACCGAGTTTGACCACGGATTGATATAAGTTAGAGGACCATTGGAAACAAGAGGGGGGTGGGTGGGTAGAGTACTGGACAACTGTTTCTACAGTCTAGTTTGGGAGACATCGGCAATACGCATCCATTGAGGTTCACAATGTGACAGAATCCAATTTTTGTCTTTTAAGATTACTTCACAATAACCTACTGTGTCGATACACAATGCAGATCATAAATTAATTATTTTTTTAAAATGTCTAATGAAAGTACAAACTTTTGTCTTTTCCACTTTTTTTTTACTGTCATTAGTACATATCCATTAGGGAAGCAGCTGTTCCTCCTACAACAAACAATTTTAATAGTTGCACTCACTCACTCACCCACCCACTCACACACACACACACACTGAAAAAAAGGAGGGGGGTATAGATAGATTGGTATAGGTATAAGTAGATTCACTCACAGACAAATGAATTCATTTTAAGAAAATCTTATAGATTTTTAAAATAGATTAAAGTTTTTTAAAAAACAGCCATAAATAATTTAAGTGAACACTAGTCACATAAGCAATGCAGATGGGATATTCAATTGGGTAGGGTATATATATGTATATGTATAATAGTACAGCCTATATCACATAATTCAAATATGCGCTTCCCTTTAGAATAAAATATGACAAACGTTTAAATGCACATTCTTACTCCAGTTGACAATTTTAGTTTACTTCGCTTTACTTTATATAAGGAGGATTGTGTTAATAGGTATGGAGAGATAGATGGCTTATACATACATTAGTGAGGTGAATATATGTGTGTACCGTCTGCGTCTGTGTGTGTGTGCGTGTGTACAAGCACTTATTACAGGTGCAGATACCTTTAATTGCCAGACAAAACTATTAGATTACACCGAGAAGACATTAGAATAAAACAGAGCGCTTAAAACAATAGAATGCAAACGTCTTGATAAAGTCACTTAATCGATATAGTATACTTCATCAGTAGGTTTGAAAAGAGACTTCTTTTGAAAGTTTCTTTTGATTTATGATTCAGTAGTCGACAGACGACAACTTTATAATATAAAAATATAATATACAAAAAGTGTACTGCTCAGCAGTCCGCTCTGTCCTCCATTATGGCCAGCTGTGAGACCTGGCCATTGCGAGTGGAAGATATGAACAGCTTGACTGGCTGTCTTTGATCATAGGTACCTGTGCTCTATCTCCCGTGTGTGTCAAGTGGTATAATAAGGTGAGCAATATTGAGATTAGGCGTCAAGTACGCTAGGTGAGTTAGGGAAAGCAATCGACGAGGCTGTGATTTTGGACATGTGTCACGTACGCCTAGCTATTACCTTCCCTGATAGGTAATGTTAGTTACATAGGATGGATAAGGTTGGAAAAGAGTTAGCGAGTGGTGGTAAAACCAAAACATGGTTTCACCAGTTTATGAAATCCACAACAGTTAGTTTAAGCCAGTCAGTCAGTCACTTAGGAAGGTGTAAACTTCCTGCCTGGAGTGCTTGGGACGGTGAACACTCCAATGGCTAGAGACAATCGGTGATATGACTCAAAATGGTGGCTGGAGCAGTTAGATGCATCCACTCCCTGTGACTTATGATTTCCAATGAAACTATATTGTTCTTCGTTATTACTATTCCTTTGTCTCACACCTCTGTTTACTGTCTCTATTATGCATTTCTTCTTCTACTTTCTTCTCTTGGTTTGTGTGGTACAAGGAGGGAGTGTGGCAACTTGAACTGTTGCACATCGGTGGAAAGTTCTATGTCGAAAACAGACAGACGCACAGAATATAAATGTTAAGGTTTCGAACCTTTCTAAGTCTCATCAACCTCTCTTTGGCTACTTTTCCGTGTGTAGTTTTTTAAAGCTCTTGAATTTAGTCATAGCTAAGGTATAATAATTATCATTCAATCAAATTGAGAGGAGGAGAAGAACTCACATTGTGTCAAATATTTACATATATTTCACAATTATTGATTTATGCTATTATCTTTTCAATTTTTATTTTGTTCGTGATGAAAGTGCAAACTTGAGTGGTAGTCACTAATAATAATATTTGGGTAAATTACCCTAGCAACTAAAACAATTGGATTACTTTAAAAAAAAGAATTGTCATACATTACCATAAAAAGAATTTAAACAATGAAACGCATTTTCGTTGCGTGATCTACTTGAAAATGTGGTATAGCTCTCTGTGCATGTATTATGTATATATATACGGTGGATACACCTACACACTTTCTCACTATTGTGAATAATAATCACTTATGTACTTTTGGCGATTAGATGAAATCTATTGAATAGAAGCCATCATCAATTCATTTATATAATAACCTGTCACTCAACGGCTATAAGGGGTGTAATATGTCAAAATTGATGAGGTTATACTTATGTGTTCAACTTATGTGGAGAAGACAACAATAGAATATAATGATGTTAGTGATTACTAATTACCTAGGAAGATGATGGGAACTTGGTGGGGGGATGGAGTTCCTGGTGTTGTAAAGATTTTTTGGCATCTAAATCTACTTTTAAAATTGGTAATTTGGTGAATTCTGGGTTTCAATATACATTAGGTCATTAGGCTACGGAAATTTGACCTTTTAACTAATTAATATCTGTTAAAGAACGATTGAAAACTAGCCACAGGGCCTAATGAACAGCTGTTTCTTCATCCTGCTTTGGGAATCATGAGTTCGAACCCAGGACCTTCCGGTTACAAGGCAAACTCGTATATCTTTCAACCACTGAAACCCGATTCAGTGGCTAGCGCATGAATTCTCACTTCTAACATTTCGTGATTTAGCACGACTTCAACCAATATCATCGGTTGGACATCCAGTGCGTACTACCGATGACTCGTAATCTAGGCTGATGAGAGACAGCTGACTGTCCAGTACCTCCTGTGGCTGGTTTTCAATGGTTCTTTAACTGATATCAATCCGTGGTCAAACTCGTAAAAATATTAATAATCCTTATAAACCAAATATGGATAATATCCAGACTAGGCGTAAACACAATCGTTATCTTGCTTTCCATGGTTGTGTAACTAGTATTAATTCGTGACACAATCTTACTATCTAAATAAATGAAAGTCTCATAAAAATTGATTTTAGGTAATGAAGATACATCACATAAGAGTTACCTTATTTCGATGTTTATTGTAGTATTGTAATTCTTCAGGCTGTAATAGATGAAATGGGGGTCGGATCTCTAAAACATCACATCTATTATCATATTTACTCTGTTGAATCCTTGATTGATCTCAATTTCAATGGATCAGACTTCTCATGTGCCATACTGTGAGTCATACGAATAGAATGCGCGAGAGTGCTACACAGTGCTATACCTTCACTCGTATAGACGTTGTGAAACTTCGAATGTTGGCTGAAAGTTGATTTTTGTTTTTTTCGAATTTAACCATGGATTCATATCAGTTAGAGGACCACTGAAGAACTAAGGACTACTGGACAGTTGTTTCGTCATAGTTTTGCGTCTCTTCATCAGTATTTACCTACTAGGGTTCATACCTAGGACCTTCCATTCTTAAGGCTAGTGAGCTGGTAGACCATTCAGACACTGGGAATCGACTCCTCACTGATCAGTCCATGAATTCTTAATTCTAACAATTCGTGCGACTGGAACCAACCAATGTCATCGATGGGACATCCGTCCTCACACTTGACTAGATGGACCTCACTGGTCAGGACTTCACCAGAACTCCAAAACACTCTGTCCTGTAGCAAGTCACTAGCGGGCATCAGAATAATTTTCAAGAGTTTAGTTTGTAATGTTGGAAAAGAGTCAGGTATATGGTCAAAAATAGAAGTGTTACATCATTTCTCGACTGTTGGCTTTATGAGCCGTTTAGAACTGTTGTAAACTTAAAACACAACTTGGCGCTAATAAAGTAATGATTGGAAACTGTTGGTAATGTGCCTGCGATAACGGTCTCAATGGTGCAGATATATTCACTCTCAATTCAGTTATTCTTATTATTTTCTGTACATTTCCACTTACAGTATAGTCCCCATTCAATGTGGAATGTGATAAATTGAACTTCTTTCACAAAGTTATTTTTACTTCCTTCATGTTCCCCAGTGGAACATAGAGCTTCAAGCTAGTGGCTTGAAGTTTCTGTAGCAGTGTTTATTTTACAGGATGAGGTTGCCAGCCAGCCTCATGCCCAACCTTTCCTCTTTACCAGCATTATTTCTGGTTCAGCGAAGTAAAGAAGTGAGTCGGTGGCCGGGATCGAACCCCGGACCATGTGCGTAGTCGTGGAGCGTCCTAACTGCTATACCACCCATGCACAAAGGAAGTAGTAACAGTAATAAATAATAATTAATATATATGCCTAACTAAGTCTTTGCTGTGTTTTTTTTCTATAATTTCAATAACAAGCACTACGAAAATTCAAGCAATTCCATATGAATGAACAAAAGACAACATCAACGGTAACAAGTAATGCAGAGACAACAGTTGCATCATCATCCGCATCCTCGTCATCACCATCAATCAATGAAAAGTATTTAATTCATCTTATTGAAAGTAAACAGATTAAAGCATTGCGTTTACTTATCCAACTGTTACCAATAACAAATTTACGTATATTGAAACGTCTGTTGGAATTATTAATTCGTGTGAAAGATTTAAATTTAAAAAATCGTATGACAAGTTTATGTCTTGGTACAATATTTGGTCCTGTATTATTACCACAAGGTATACTGAGTGAAACAGTGCGTAGTTTAAAGGTAAGAGGATTTTTATCCCATTTTATCATGTTGTTGTTTTTCTGTTGTTAACCTATTTAAATTAATTTGAATGGTTATTTTTGGAAACTGTTGATTCCTGGAACATATGTGCGGCGATGCCTCGGCGGTAGAATGCCCGCCGATCACTCAGGTGGTCTAGGGTCCGATCCCCGGCCACCAGCTCACTCCTTTACCTCGCTAAGCTAGTAATAAAACTGTTAAAGAAGGCAGGTTGGGCATGAGTCTGGCTGGCTGGCTGGCAACCCCATCCCGTAAAAATAAACACACCACTGTCACCGAAACTTCAAGCTCTAGATTGAAGCCCTATGTTCCACCGGCAAAGTAAAGGAATAAAAAAAATTCCCGGAATATTGGACTTCAGTAGTTCTCAATTCACTGCTTGTCTTCATGATTGTCGAATGGCTTCCATTCCTACTTCATATGGTCTCTACATTACCAAACACAGGAGCTTTGCTGAATACCCTGAGAGGTCAAAACAAGATTTTGAGCAAACAGTTGTTTTCGATAACTTCTTCTTCAGGCTCTACAGTTATAAATCCATGAATAATAGAGTACATATGGCCAGTAAAGGCAAATGAAAATAATATCAGAAACTGTATTTGGGTGCATGTGTAAGTTGAGGTGATATTCTTTTTATTTGCCTTTACTGGCTATATGTACTCTATTATTCATGGATTTATAACTGTAGAGCCTGAAGAAGAATTTATCCAAAACAATTGTTCGCTCAAAATCTTGTTTTGATTTCAATATGGGGATTTTTCATTTACTGAAACCCTGAGAGGTATCAAGTTTACGTCAATTCTCTTCTCATTATGATTGTTGACCGTTTCCAGAAAATACCTGGTACGAACTGGTGGATGTAGACTTCGGTCCTTCTCTTGAGATTAGCGTGCCTAGTGCCAAAGTTTAGTAGAAATACCTGGAGGAGGAGCTATAAATCCCCTGATTTCAAACCTATAATGTAGAGATGAGCTTCAGAATCCTAACAGGCTGAATGGTGTATGTGTTGGACTTGTTTTAGGCACCGGGAATCACCTCAACATAGTTCCTCACACTGCTCCACTGTTAGATGGTTGGAAGCAATCGGCCACAGGAAGCCCGACTAGCCCTAGTTTTCGTACTAGTTGGCACTCATCAACAGGCCTTATCTGCAACCTTGAAGGGATTCATGTCCCTTCTGAAATTCGAACCCGCGTCACCCAGTTACTTCTGCAGTCAGAGACGTTACCACTGAGCCATCCGGGCCCATGATTTACCTACTGTAGGACTGGAGTGGAAAATTTGATTGGACACTAGTAACTAGTGTGAAGTGTCTAGTCCTATCTTTGGTGCAGACTGAATTCTATCAGTCAGGTTTGTAATGTGGCCACCGTTCTAGGTAGCTCACCATCACAGTGCACATTGATTTGATGATATTAGATAACTGCAGAACTGACTGGGTGACGCGGGTTCGAATTTCAGAAGAGACATGACTTCCTTCAAGGTTGCAGATACGCCTTGCTGACTGGTGTGAGTGCCAACTAGTACGAAACATAGGTCCAAGAATTCCTTCCGATTGTCTCCAACCATCTAATATCATCAAATCAATGTGCATCGTGATGGCGAGCTAACTAGCGGATGGTGCCCACATTACAAACCTGACTGATAGAATTCAGTCTGCACCAAAGAAAGGACTAGCTAGACACATCACACTAGTTTCTAGTGTCAAATCAAAAACTGCTACACTGTCTTATGGCTTCGACTTCAAATCACGTGCTCTGCACCATCTGCTCTAGTCTGACCGTCCAGTTATTATCCAAACCCTGAAAGAAAGGATGAGATTTGAAGTTTCATTAAAGATAAATATATTATGTTGACTAATAAGTTGTTGAGTGGTTCACTCTCTGCAAGAGTTTCTTTTTTACTGTTCATTCTTTCTGATCACCGATCTGAGTTTCACTCTTAAGTGACCGTTAAGTCACTGAAAAATCACTGGTACACACTTGACACTAATACTTGAAATGTTTTCCTTTAATGCTTAATGTTGTCGAAAGGCGGCGGTGCTTTATGTCTTGCTTTTCGACTTCTACCTTTGACAGGGCTCACCTACTGAGGGTTACTAGTTGATCTGAGTGTATTTTATTTCATTTAACATCGTTTGGCAACGTGTCACACATCGAAATTGGGTTTTGAAAGAATTTACTCTTGCTTGTCGTCGAACCTGTAGTAGTAAATGCCAAAAATATGTAGGCTTAAAAAAATGTATTCCAGTCAAAAATGATAATGTATATGTTGGTTGCTATGACGATAATTGTGGTAATTCATTAAAAGCAAAAAAGAAAAGCATTTCAGTTATCTATTTATTATTATTATTTTTTTGGTCAGTATAACACAGTAGGGAAGCTGATTATTGTATATTCATCACTCGCTTCTTTTTTCATCTTAGAAGAAAACCCCGCTGTGTGCATGCGTCCGTATTATTTGAATATCTGATAAAAGTAACAACAGATAGAACGAACGTTTTTTCAGTGATATAAGACTGGACATTGTTAGTTTTTGATGATGATGATAAGGAGAGTGAGAGTGAGCTAGTGAGTGCACGTGAGAGAGTTGGAGACACAAAGCGACAGAAGAGTGAGATATAAGGAGAAACTTTTTTCAATTATCATTCTGTTTCTACACAGACAGACACAGAAATACACGTGTGTGTGTATATGTCTGTAACTACATGGATGCATAACTACTCAATGTACAGATTTATTGAATCTCCCTATTTTGTTTGTTCTAAGTGAATCATTGTTATTATTATCTGCGCATAAATTATACGTAAATAAATAAATAAAAGACAATAGAAGAAAAGTTAACAAGTTTTAAATGATTTTAATCAAGAGAAAAATGTTTAGTCTCTTTTTCATCCCATAAGTATAGGATGTGGTTTATTGGATTTATCAATCATCGACTTTTTGGTTTCGAATTCAGCCACACTTACTTCATTGTGACCAGGCCTTAGACAATAAGTGTTCTGTCCCAGGAATCGATGATGGTAGTTTGACCTATTAGTCCAAAAGTTAAAATGTTATCCACTAGTTACTAACTCTAGGGTCCAGTCCTGCAGTCGGCCAATCGCAAGCCAACGTCTCTGACTGCAGAAGTCACTGGTTGACGTGGGTTCGGATGTCAAAAGAGACAAGAGTTCTCTCAAAGTTTTAGATACGCTTGTTGCTGTGATGACTGATAAGTGCCAACTAGCACAAAACCTAGATCTAGTTGGGCTTCCTGTAGCCGATTACCTCCAACCATCTAATATCAAATTTGTACATTCCCCGACAGATATGAACTTTCACCTTTCAAAACCTAAGGAAGTCATTTTCAGACTATATTCTAGTTTCTTATCACCATATAAATATTGTAGCTCATGTCTAGATAGGTAGGTACTATCGTGTTCATATCTAGTTTGATGAACAATACAATCACACGGTTCGAAAATCCCTTTCACACACACACACACCTATATGATAATGTTCAGACACTTTAACTATTTCACATATGTTGTACTACTTATCTCTTCTGGAGTATGATGTGTCGGCTTATTTTATTGGACACTAGTAACTGGTGTGACGTGTCTAGTCCTTTCTTTGGTGCGGACTGAATTCTATCAGTCAAGTTTGCAATATCGTCACCCTTCTAGGTAGCTCACCGTCGTGGTGCAGACTGATTTAACCTAGGTTTCATTCTAGTTGGCACACGTCAGCAAGGCGTATCTGAATTCAGTCTGCACCAAAGATGATAGGACTAGACATATCACACTAGTTACTGACTTGTGTCCAGTCAAAGTATCCACCGTAGTCCTACAGGAGGTCAATCGCGAGCCCGTGGTAACATCTGTGACTCCAGAACTGACTGGGTGACGCGGGTTCAAATCTCAGAAGGGCATGAGTTCCTTCCTTCGAGGTTGCAGATACGGCTTGGTGACTGGTGAGTGCTAACTAGCACGAAACCTAGGTCTAGTTGGGCTTCCTGTTGCTGATTGCCTCCAACTATCTAACATCATGTCAGCTTATTGAAAGTATTCAATACTTTTTGAAGTCGATATTTTCTGTATAAAGGTTGACACTGTTATTCCTCTAATCAGATTGAAATAGCTGGAAAGGGATTCGAGCCTGGGATCCCCCCTATTGCTGAAAAATACAATCTTTAATATGCATAACTCAGCAGCGAAGTGGAAGCCTTTATTTTTAAAATTATTGCGATATATATACACTTCAGTAATCTTAATTCTATTCTTTCCTCTTTCTTTTCTCTCATAGAATTCTAAATATCCTTCAATGGAATGCCAAGAGAAATGCCTCCAGTTGAGTAAACTCACATGTCTCTTGATTGAAACTGGCCTAGATATCTTCCTATTGCCTTATTCATTAGTACAAGACATTTGTACAAATAGTCCATATTTATTCACATATAAATCTCAGAAATTAAGTGCAGATATTGAGAATAATAACAATAATAGCAGTAATAATAATGGTAATAGTAATACACATAAGTTATTCTCCAGTTATCATCATCATCATCATCACTCCTCATATTCTACACTGAAAAAACAATCAGTAAAATTCAAGGATATTCCAATGTTATTCCTTTCCTCCTCTTCCTCCTCGGCCTCCTCCTCTGCGTCTTCCAGTGTTTCACCTTCAAAAAATTGTTGCTACATGACCGATGACCACCACGACGATTATGATGATTCTCCGCCTTTACGTACAGCGATACGTTTTGCTACACCAACACCGACAAGTGTTGCAAATTTTCGTCAGTTAACTTCACCAACAATGCAATCAACTGTGAATAGCAATAATAATAATAATAATAATAATAGTACTGATGTTGAATACCTTCAACGCTTTCTCTCCTCTAATCGTCATTGCAATACAAATTCATGCATGCATAGAAATTATAAACAATACTTATTAAATAGTTATACAGATCAACCAATTAAATCCAAGTGGAACCGGTCAGCTGATGAAATTTCACTAGATTATTTAAGATATTCTCCAAGGGAAAAAATTCAAAAATCGATTAGTGAATCACAGAATGATGTAGTCAAAGCGAATAATAATACCACGACTACACCAACCAACTGTAGTCAATATCCAGTAGAATTAATTGGCAAGACATGTCGATTACAAGCGAATTCAATCATTCCATCACCGAATTGTTTATCCCCGACAAAGTGTAGCAAATATACTAAAGATAATATTGATGTAAGCTATTTTTTTTGTTTCTTTTATTATTGATTTATTTATTGATCGACTGATTATTGTTACATGAGTGCATAAACATTTTCATCTAATGATTTTGGATTTGTAATCTCCACCAGCTTAGAAGGAGGAGTAGAACGGATGCTATTCAGTGTACCTCTGGATCTAATCTCTGATGCATGAAGAATATGTTGTGTGAGTGACGAATCATAACTGGACCATACTTTGACGTGTTCTTATCATATAAGTGGTGTCTACGACCAGTGACTTCATGCAAAGTTGTCATTGTTTTAGTTGAAACCTAAATCTTGCATGTTTTAAGGGGTAAACTGCAAAAGCCATCTCAATCGGTGAAGTTATGTAGTCTGATTGGTTGACTTATGTCATATATGTGTATATCCAACAGTGTGGGTAGCTTTTCAAAAGTTACTCACTGCTTTGTCTAGTTCCATCTAGGCAGAATGTTTGATTAGAAGCTCTTGAGGTGTGAAGAACCTGTAAACACATAAAAAAAATTAAAACTTGATTCCACACAGTATTTTTGGTAGAAAGTGTGAGATTTCGGTAGCCCAAATTTTGTAGGCTGACCATAGATAGCTGCTGTCGGTGCCACTGACGCACCGACGATGGTAACATATGCTGTTTTTAACGAATTTTATCTGCAAGGGATATAAAGAGGGAATTGTTGTGCGTTAGACACAGTTTGATCATCCTACATGACGCCCGATAGGAAAGATGACATCTCTTCTATCTTTTATATTCTGAATTCATTATAACTGATGAAACTTTCAAAAGGAGTCACCGGATTATAACAACCATCTTTAATCTAGTCGAGTAGTATTCATTATATAGACTGCCTTTTCTATATCATCCAACATATAGCCTATCTGGGCGAAGCATAAATGCACATACACTTCTAAACTTAACCATTCACGCTGCTTTATTTTCACTTTTCTTTTAGACTGTACGTATTGACTGTAGTAAACGTAAATTTGGTAAAAGGAGACGATTCACAGAGTTACGATTACCAACCACTTTGAGTCGTACAAATGCTGGTGGGAATAACGTTGTTGGCAACACTGGAGGCGGATCAACTGGGCATAATAGCCATGGTCATAGTAGTAGTAGTAGTAGTCATCGTCGATATATCTTTTCACCGTGTCCTCCAATCCCCCTTTTACCATTTAGACGGTAATGGTGCTTGTGTCGTCGGCGGGAGGTGAGAGCAGGGGTTAGACTTGCTTCCATCCTCGTCATTATTGTCATTATCCTCACCGACCTCAACTTTTCTACGGCGTCAACGACACTGACGACTAATTTCTATAGAAAACCATGACAATAACAAATGTATCAGAAAATCATGGTAACTGAATCAATAAGTAACCTCTTTTACATACTCTCAACATACTACTTACACTACTAATACTACTACTACTACTACTACAAAGAACACAAGAATACCATTTTGAACGCTCTATGCACATTACACAAGCACCATTACATTCGATTCCATGTAATTACTTATTTTTTAAAATGATTTCTTCTGTTAATATTCTTATGTAATAAAACATTTATTTTTAAAACTTTTTGCTAATTGTATAGAAATATGTACATAAAGCTTATTTTCTACACGAAAACAATGTTAAAATTTAAATTAAATTGTTAAAGTAATTAAAAGTACCTCTTTTTTTAGAAAAATAAAACCTCTTTTTCAATACCTTGAAATCTAAAATGTGTTTTTCTGTTCTTTCGCCTTTCATTTGATATACTACTCGTGGTGTGGTGTATCCGCTGAGGTGGGTGATGGATGGTATGATATGTTGTGAATTCCTTCCCTGTGGCTGGCTGTATGATGAATAGGCTTGCCTCTTGACATCTGTAGGCTCATGGCCTACTGTGAAGAGTCTCATCTGTGGGACGAAACATCTGTACAGTACGCCCTGATTTTCACTGAAGTTCATTTTTTACCTAACTTGCAACTAATGAAAACCACTTGAAACTTTCTATATGTTGCTGACGAAGTCTCAGCACGGATACGGAAGGCTCGTTTTGCACATGCTAGTTTACGCTCTCTGGCGTAAAATAACGTGATGTTTGGCTTTCGGCCTAAGGGAGAGTATACTGCTCATCAGTTCGCTTCGTCCGTCATTATGGTTGTGAGACCTGGCCACTGAGAGTTGAAGATATGAACAGCCTGAGTGACTGTCTTTGATCATAGGTGCCTGCACTCTATCTCCCGTGTGAAGTGGTATAATAAGGTGAGCAATATTGAAGTTAGGCGTCGCGTACTAGGTAAGGAGGGGAAATCAGTCGACGAGACTGTGAAATTACATCGACTGAGATGGTTAGGACATGTATTACGGATGCCTAGCCATCCATCGCCTTCCTTTCCAAATGGGCAATGTTAACTGACATAGGGTCAGGCTGGAAAAGAGCTAGCTAGTGATGGTAAAGCCAAAACATGGAACCAGTCAATGAAATCCACAACAGTTAATTTAAGCCAGCCAGTCACTCAGGAAGGTGCAGAGTTCCTGGTTGGGGTCTTCAGAACGGTAAAAACCAATAATGACTGCGGACATTCGGTGATATGGCTCAAAATCATCGTTGTCAATGGCTGGAGCAGTTAGATGCATCTACTCCTTGTGACTTATGATTTCCAATGAAACTGTTTTGTCCTTCGTTACTACTATTCCTTTGTCTCACACCTCTGTTTACTGTCCCTATTGTGCATTTCTTTTCTTGCTTTGTGTGGTACGCGGAGTGTGGCGACTTGAACCTCCGCACATCGGTGCAAAGTTCTATGTCGAAAACAGACAGACAGACCTTAATGGATTGAGCCTATTAGTCGTGGGTACATGTCGCTGAAGAGTGTCAGAGTGGGATAAACACAGCTGTCACTAGTTTTCAGTCCATCTCCAAACCAATGTTAGTTTGCAGGCCAATATGGTAAAAAAATATTTAAAGACCGAGGCATTTGACAGCAGGTCACGTAGCATACAGTATTCTTCACATAATTAATGTATAGGCCTTATATAAAGGTGTGAAAAATCAATACGATTCGAAGGCATCATGTAATAAAGTGAGAAGTTGAGATAGAATAGGGGGCGTTGTGTATAATGCGAGAAAAATATTGAATTTAATCAATACAGCGGGATAAATGAAATAATACCAGAAACTTGGTGATATTAGATAGTCGGAGGCAATCGGCAGGAAGCCTTCGACCTAGGTTTCATGCTAGTTGCAACTCGTCAGCAGGGCGTATCTGCAGACTTGAAGGAACTCATGTCCCTTCTGAGATTTGAACCTGCGTCACCCAGTGAGTTCTGCAGTCAGAGGCTTTACCACTGAGCCATTCGGACCTGCGATGGACTCCTGTAGGACTGCAGAAGGTATTTTGATTGGACATTATTAGCTGAGACTGATAGAATTCAGCTCGCACCAGGGAAAGGACTAGACACATCAAACTAGTTACTAGTATCTAGTGAAAATACCGGAAACTGTTCGTGGGGGAAATAATTTTAACAACGATAGGGAGGTGGCTACGTAGATAATTAAACTAAGTGAAAAATAGGTAAATAAGTAAACGTTTTAATCCCTCTTTTCAATCTGAAAGCTAAGATTGAACGAGAGAGAGAGAGATAGAATACCACACACCCTTTGTCCAGAACACTCCAGCTTCTAATCTAGTCTAGTCAAAGCTTCCTGTATATTTTTAGTAAAGGTTAAAGGCAAAGAAAGCACACACTGATGGTTCAGGTTTGTAGGGATTTTGTTTGACTTGGTGGATGATTTCATCATGAGCTGACGTACGTATGTACGTACTAATGAAGAGTCCGAAACTAGGCTAATGAAAGAGCTAGCTTTCCAGTACTCCCTCACAGGTTTTCCAATGGTCAGATCCTGATGCAGTCCTTCGACCAGATAGTATTTTAATCTTTGTCAGGACTAGTTGACGGATAAAAAACCGATCAAGTGTTCAAATCTGTCATATGCGTAAATTGAGTTTTGAGTGGAACTCAAGGAGCGAAGCTTGACTCTTGAAGTGATGGTGTTTTTCCGTGGGATAGAATGCTAGTTCATGCCCAAACTTACCCCTTTATTGGGCTTACCCCCGATAAAGTTAGGATTAAGAAGACTTTTATTTTACTGAAACAGCGCTGATTGATTGGATGAATGAAAATGTGACACCCTTGTTGAGTTTTTGATCTTAGGTGCGAATTATTATGTATGATAATTTTTGATAATCACTTCGCTCTGTTAAGTGAATCATAAAGGCTCATCTTATCATATTCTAACGATAAGACATGATCGTTAGAATTTTTATGCTGTGATGTCATGCAATCAATGCAGGTTCACTAATCGATGAAACTGTTTACTGATACTATATACTATCTGACGAATTATCATACACATATGCAAAGCTGAATGTTTGTGCAGAATAATATGAGGCTATCAGAAATTACGTCGGATTCTCTTCACCTGCTTACAGACTAAAAGTTGACTGCATAAACATACATAGCATTGCGTCATACTTGCAAAGGAACAGCATGATTTTCGTTAGCAGAGATACATTTTAATGAACAGTGTTCAGAAGTTCCACTTGATTAACTTGTGAAGTAGAAGGTCAAAATTCAAACCAAGTGCAAACATGCAAAAATGGTCGGTTACATTGAATATTAGGCTGCACAGTCATGGCAACAAGAGGAGAGAAGTTGATGATGAATAAATAGTGTGATGAGTATAACTCTAGCCATAGAAACAAAAGAGAACTGAATTCCACCAAAGCAAAAGAAATGTTTGGTGTGCAAATGCAAGAGAATATGTAATCAGTTCAGATGAAAAGGCAAGACTTTCAGACACTAAGGCAAGCAAATATTAATAAGTGAATCTTATGGAACAAAAAGTCGAGTTGTAGACGTTTGATGGCAACTGATTCGTCAAATTTGACGAGATTCATGAAACACTCCCCCCCCCATCCCCATATATATCCATATTATATGTGTGGTTGTTGACATGTCTGCTATATTTTGCTATGTATATATGGATCGATACTTCATTATAATTAGCCATTCATGTTAAGACTGTCTATTGATTTGTCCACACACTTGTCTGGGCATTCATATATATTTCGCTCACACAATCTTGTGTGACTACCTTTGGTGTGATACCACACTTTGCATTCTCCTTGTGTTTGGAAAATAGAAGTATCATCGCAAACCTAGTGGTCTTCTGATTTCCGCCTTCTTGCGTCAGGACTATTAAATTCTCGACCAGTCCATAACAACAAATTGTCGACGAGTACAAAACAATTTGGCGACGGGGAAAACTACTATTAACCACTCAGCAGCAGCAACATAACAGATACCCTAGAAGAAGAACTACACTTCCTGAAAAGAATCTTTATACAAAGCGGATATCCACCAAGACTCATAGAGTGAAAGAGAAATTCCAAAAGCAAGAGACGCTATCCATTCCGAAAGAGATACTTTATATGAACCTCGACTTCAGAGGTGACCTACACAGTGATGTCCTTAGGAGGAGAATTTCCACTTCGCTAAAAAGAACTTTGTTCACTGTAACATTCAGAGCAGTGTTTTTCAGTCGCCCAGTGATCTGCAGAAGCCCAAATTACAAGATCGCGCACCCGACCACTTCTGTATGCATATATCAGTTCACCTGTTTTTGTGGAGCCAGCCAGGTACATCGATCGTTTGACGCGCATTCTGTCAAAAAGGGTCACAGAACACTATCCAGTGTGGCTGCAGGTAGGATGTAGTAGTCGTATAAGGAGTACAATAATAGAACATCTCGTCACCACTGATCATTCCATCTCAGAAAAGGTCTCCTTCAGAGTAGTCTACAAAGTGAAGAACAACCTGTCAAAGACAATACGTTTCCGTCTTCCATGCAGTGCAGAAGCCTCAGCCATTCAGTTAGCGAAGCCAGAAGTATGCATAAAAAGAAAATTATTAAGCCACTTCTACTATCATGGTAACAACTCTGTCAATTTGACTTAACTTTTGCTTGTTTGCTTGTCTTTTCTAGCTACTTAAAACTCTTGCCTAATTCCGTATGTTATTTTGCTTCCATGTTCAACCTGAGCACAACTCTTTCATCAAACTGTTCACATTATTACGCAACTCTTCTTTAACAATAGTTTATGACAACTCATCACTTTTGTTACTACCGTCTTATATCAACATCCGATTCCCCTGAACGTATTTTTTTGTATTACGTAACTCAACCAAAAACTTACCAGTCGTATTTTCGTTTGATAAATTTGATGTACGCACAAATACTAAATAACCCATATATATATTTGCGATTGTACAGCTGTGAGAATGAATTTGCGGAAAAGAGACTCTTAACTGAATTACTGGTCTTCTCTCTATTAACTATGGGGACAGTTGAGTTATGCTGCCTATTAGTAATCTTGTAGGATTTCACGGTGTCCACCTCATCACCTATATCAACAAGATGTCTGGAAATACGACTGTACGCAACATTTGTCCCCTTTTGGTATATTTCCTGTCCTCCCAGTGTAACGGCCCCCACAGGTACACGTAAACTGGTATACACAATTAGAGTTAACATGGGAGAGGTTTCTATCAATCTTTGCATGCACGAAAGAGTTTGTTGTTCGATAAACCGGATCCAGTTTGTCTGCACGATAGGTCCCGGCTAGAGAAGTTTTCATTCATCTGTCGAGTATTCCTGTGATAG